TGTGTGTGTGTGTGTGTGTGAGTGAGTGTGTGTGTGTGTGTGTGTGTGTGTGTGTGTGTGTGTGTGTATAAAATGGAGGGGGCGTTGCCGTTCTGTCTCCGCATGCAACAAATCATACGACCTCAGTTATATATCACTCTAATATAAGATGTTATGTAGGATAAAGAGGCGGGGCCTCTGGCTCTTTTTGATGGAAATGGTTTTATTTTCCTCTGAAAAAGTTAATCCACATAATGGTGTACCAATGTACTCCTTTTTACATGAATCATATTAACCTAAAGGTTATTAACCTTTCTAAGTAACATGCAGTAATCTTTGACTTTATTTTTCCTTATCGGTGACGTCATATTCAAACACAAAAAAACTAGACTATAATTCGAAAGTCCGAGCGATGTAACAAAAGCCAACCGAATTTTCCCTTGAATTGGTTGTAAGTTATTTTTTCCAAATCTGGATACTAGATCTAGGTCTAGCTTATCTGCTTTGGAACTAACAATTCTGTCTAAAGTGGCACACGAGAACAAAACTGTGTGTGTGTGTGTGTGTGTGTGTGTGTGAGAGAGAGAGAGAGAGAGAGAGAGAGAGAAAGAGAGAGGCAGACAGACAGAAAGACAGACAGACAGACAGACAAACAGACAAACAGACAGACAGTGACAGAGACAGACAACAGAGACACAGAATGAGACCGAAAGGCAACCACCACAAAAAAACCAACAAAAAAACCCAACAACAACCCTCAACAAACCGCAATGTCAATAAAAACGATCACAACACACACGCAAGAAAGTAAACTAGATTCTAGAAGGGAAAGACTTTACCTTCTTTGCACACGTCTCCGCGAAAACCACGAGCACATCCACCTTTGCAGACGCCTGTCACATGATCACACGCCCCCTTTAAGCACCGCCCACAAGTGTGTTGACAGTTCTCCCCGTACACGCCTGTGTGACACCCTGGAAGGACAGTAGAGTCTGCGTGCTTATAGCAAGGCCGGGGGGAAGGCCTGTGATGGTAAAACGGCTACAGCAGCAGCATTAACTCCCAGATTCCCAGATTACGACAATTGCATCTACAGCAACAAGAAGAACAATAACCGCCATCGTGGAAATGATACCCCCCAAAAAAACAAAAAACAAACAAACCAAACCCCACCCCCAAAAAACAAACAAACAAAAAAAATCCCCAACAACAGCGGGAACAACAACAACAATAACTATTTGCAGCAACATCTGCAGCAGGATCAACGACTACAGCAGCAAAAATCGATGACACAAGAAAGATAGCGGTCAGTCAGTGCTAGGGAAAATTAACTATAATATAGACACATCACTACCCTAGAGTCATTAAGTTCTATCTGCTCAGTACCTAGTTTTGAGAAATTTGACGTTAGTAACTTTTGTTTCACAACATGTCAAGCTTTTCCGAATGCAATTCTCTGAATATCTTGGTAACGACTGCATAATTTTACGATTTTGATAGCGCGTATAGAACATTTAGATTTTAGTTTCTGACATCATGGTCTTAGTAACTCAAAACGCCCAGAATGTCGGATAGAACTTTGTAATTCTAAAGCAGTGATATGGGGACAACAGATGAACATTTTCAAAACAGAAGGTAGAGAGAAAAGATCTCAGGGTAAAAGAAAAGTATGACAGTAACAACCCAAACTGTAACTCTGTTAACAACTCCAGATGTTGAGCACTCGGTAAAGCAGTTCAGAAGGGTGGTTTATACTTTACTTTTACCCAAAATCAGAGGTAGATCCGAGGACGTAACTTACTGTTGTCACAGAAAGGACCAGACCACCCGGGTTCGCATCCCTCGAGGCACTCCCCGGTCACGTGATGGCAGGTGCTGTTTCCGACGCAGTGACCACAGGTGTCAGCGCAGTCCATGCCATAGAACCCGGGTCCGCACTCTGTGGGAACACAGCGAGCGTTTAGTTTTAGTAAGAGCTTTACGACACTTGCAACACAATAAGGTCATAATGTACGCGCGTAAGTGCCGAAGAATAGATGTGTTACAAGAGAGTAACACATTATGCAACAAAGAAGGAGGAGAAATAAGGACGATAGATGTTTGATAGGTAGGGCAATGCCCACTTTTGGTGTAGGTCAAGATTTCTGGAAACCTCCGAAATCTGGGTTAGCCCGCTCGTCCTTAAAAGCGACCATATTATACCGATACATGTAACAACAGGTTCTTGGCGAAACGCCAAACCTGAAGCAAACTAAAGCATGCTTTTAGGTAAAAGTCTACCCCAGCCCTTCATGAACTAAATCGAGCCAGAACTCATTCATAGCCGGGGTCTCCAATCTCTGTGGTGTTCTACACGTGGATCAGTGAGGCGTCATTTGCAAAAGCAGCTTTTAACAAACTTTTAGAATAGGGGGATCAAGTAGACTTTTATCCAACATTGAAGAGAACTCAAGTTCGGCCAAGTTTTGAACTAACTTGCGGGCTTGCATTTATTCCTGGCCTTGCTCCCATAATGATGGCATATTGTAAACTACAAAAAAGTAAACAATTTAGATATGACCAGTTAAGAAAGTGTATGTTATGTGGCATGTTATTCTGGTTAGCCGTATTTACTCAAGGCATTAAACAAAATTTGACGTTAAATTAACGCGAAAAAACAAACTCAAGTGCCAATCTCATAAGCAGGACACCAGAATACATGTCAACGTAAACTGATTTTTAGGTGAGAGAGAGTAGACCAATGGATAGAGAAGGGGAGTGCGTGCATGAAAGAGAAAGAGAGAGAGAGAGAGCGATGCAGAGAGAGCAATAATAATGAGAAAGAGAAAGACAGAGACAGAGAGAGAGAGAGACAGAGAGAGAGAGAGAGAGAGAGAGAGAGAGAGAGA